TCCTCAAAGTTTAAAGTGGCGATGGATATCTATCGATGTGCTCTTTTTTCGTAGATGACGTTCTCTCTTCTTAGGGGGTGTTTGGTTCAATTTCTAGAAATTATAGGAAATGTTTTCCACCTAAAATATGATTTCCTTGTATTTCTTAAAAAAATTATAGGAAAAGTTTTGAGAAATCAAAAGTATCAATTTTCTTGTTTTTTGTACTTTGCTTGTTTGGTTCAAAACAAGAAAATAGCTCATAACTTATAGAAAATAACAAGATTTGATAGGTTTTTAATTAAATATGGTATGTGTCAGATTTCTGGTGATTTCCTCTCATTTTGAGAGGAAATTGCTTTTTGTAAAATTTGGTAGGTTTTGATATTTTATAGAAAATATTTCTGTAAATTTTTTGTTGAACCAAACACAATTTACAGAAATCTCTGGAAAACTTTTAATTACAAATTTGTCATTATCAGATGTTTTGAGAAAAGTTTTCTCAAAAAGTGTGCAACCAAACAGCCCCTTAGTGTAGTCATCAATCAATTCCGTATTTGATAGGCAATTCTGTTCATATCTCGTGGGTTCCCTGTCTTTCTCAGTTTCTCTGCCTTATTTCACCATTACTTGTATTGAAAGAATATATTGGCATTGATCTTAGCTCCAAACCCTAATTTCCTTTTTTTTCCCCCTTCTCCATGTTCTTCCAAACTAACACATGGAGACCACCTATATTTCAGCGAAGCTGATTCTGCATAGCATCCTTCATGAGAAACAAATAACTTATAAAGGTCGAAGGGATAAATAAGTTGTGATTTCCGGCAAGTGAAGAAATCCGAATTTAGGCACTGGGCACCCACGTATGCATGCCCTGGATTACTAGACCCCTAGAGGTCCCCCCCCCACCCACCACCACCACACACACACAAAAAAAACAAGTAGTCTATTTCATATTTGACATCTAAGGGCTAATAAATATTCGTCTCTCACAACCAACAATATGTATTTCTAGTGTAATCACTGAGAGAAAATACAAGAGAAAGACTTCCTTAGGAGTTAATCAACGGTGATCAAGTTTGTGGCTTCCTTTAATTTTTGTAGTGATTCAAATATCAGATTCATGCAGATAAAAGTTAGTTTTTTTTATTTGATACATTTTTTACTATTATGTCTGTCAGTATCACTGACTGAGGTCTAATTGAATTAGATTTTTGAATTAGTTCTGACGATTGTCAATAAATTATAAGTGAAAAAATCCAATGTAACCACGAAGCTTACAATGATAGCTACTTCTTCGAATGTGATACATTAAAGTTTGTAGAAATTATAATGAATTTATTCCATAAACCTACATGATTCAATTGATCAAACTGCCATGTAAGCATTGTTTTAAATATCCCCGACATGGCCCGATATATCCCCCGATATATTCTTTTACAGGGCTTGCCGCAACCGATATGCGATATATCCCCCGATATATTCTTTTACAGGGCTTGCCGCAACCGATATGGTCTTTAAATATCCTTTACTGCTTTTTGGCTATTTTGAATGGGGCTTGCCGCAACCGATATGGTCTTTAAATATCCTTTACTGCTTTTTGGCTATTTTGAATGATAAATCCCCGATATGGACGATTTATTAGCCGATATGTAGACCAATATATCTTTTTATATAGCTTGTTACAAAATAATATACCGTGTTTGGAATTTTTGGGTGAGATATCAAGATTTCCCCATTATATCAAATGACATTTTGCCCTAAAAAAAGCAGATTGAATGTTGCGACGTTGCTTTGCACTTTTGTTTATTTTAGAAGGTTGATTAGTGATCCTAAACATATATTATTCATATTTTGTATGTTTAAATTTCATTACATATGTTGAGATTACATTTTAATGCATTATACTATGTATGCAAACATTCATTATGACATTCCGATATTTACCACATATCCCCGATATTTCCCCGATATCCGCAATCCAATATGAATTTTGGTCATCCGATATTTCCCTGATATCCGATATTTAAAACATTGCATGTAAGTACTAAGTAGATTTGATCTTGTGAGAATCATCTATGAAACATAATATGAATTCCGCATCATTATATCAACTCCCAATAAGTAGTTTAATATGACTTCGTTAAGCTACTAATTTACCCGCAACCCTGATTCTGCTAAGCTTGAGTTGTCAACATTAGTGGCTTCAATTTTTAACAAGGCTTGGATTGTCCACAGTAGTGGATGCTTTGTATTAAATTAATACAAGATTCATTTTTATTAGTAGTTAAGCTGGTATCCTCTTTTCATAATGAGCCCAAGGTTACTATGTGAAAAAAGGTTGATTAGAGATGGGCTATATGAAAGCAAATGGCAACCAAGATGCAGGTTAGAGAGAAATATAAGTATAATTTCTTTTTGATTTTTTAACATTTATAACTTCTTTTTGATTTTTTTAACATATACCCCACCCCAAATTCACTTGATTAAATACGCTTGTTTTAATTGTCATACAGATCAAAAGATCTTCGTACCACAACAAATTACTAGCAGTGGAATGATATCAAATCAAACTGAGTAGGTCTATGACTAAAGTAGTGCTATAGTTGTTTGAATAAATATCCAGCACATGAGTGTGACAATCATATTGGTCCACAGATGTGGCTCTATGACTATAGATGTGTATATACACATTCTAACACTATTAAGCTACAGATTGCAAGCGCACGCGCGTGTGCATAAAAATGCACATATTCACATGCACAAACACGGACACAAACAGCAACACAAACACAAACAAAACTGGGAACAACACAGACAAACACGAAAATTTGCTGTTAATCCACTATTTAGCTTTACTGAGAGTTTCTTTGTTTAAATTTATTAACTGGGAATTCAGGTTTGGAATATTTCCATCATGGGGCCTTTCTCAGAAGCTTTCACGTGTAATAGGACCAAACAGGGCTCGTGAAGTGTCACTCACTGGCATGCCTATAACTGCAGAAATGGCAGAAAAATGGGGGCTTGTTAATCATGTCGTGGACACTGGAGAAGTGTTGAAGAAAGCCAAAGAGGTCGCAGAGGCCATCTTGAGAAATAAGAGAGACATGGTATTTAAATACAAGTCTGTTATCAATGATGGCTTCAAACTGGACCTCACCAATGCCCTTGCTCTTGAGAAAGTGCGTTTCCTTAAACCAGGATTGAATTGGTTTTACTTTAACTTATAGTTGCATACCTGACCAAATATTACTCTTACATGTTAATTTGCAGGAGAGAGGACACAATTATTATAGTGGCATGACTAAAGATCAATTTGCACAAATGCAGAAATTCATAATGGGTCGTAGTTCAAAGTCCGCTTCAAAGTTGTAGATGCATTGGATTTGTATTGTGGAAAGTTTATACAAACCTAAGAAATAATCTGGTATCTTTGTTTACTGGCAGCTATCAAGTGTAATATTTCTTAATGTATGTGAATAAGAGGATAACACTATTTCTCTAATCTCTCTTTCTTGAGAGCACGCGCTTATAGCTGCGTGTTGTAATGGTTCAGAGGGTCACTTTTGGTATTTACTGTATTTATGTATCATATCATGTTAACACTGCTATTATTTGGCATTGCTTTATCAACTTCCTGCGTTAGGGAATTGTCGTAAATTAAGTGGATTTTACTTCATTGTGTTGGCAAGAATTCATCGAAGCCATGATCCTCTGTCTCTCCCGGCAGGGTAAGGACTCAGAAAAAAATCTTGAGGAATCAACAAACGCGACACTCATAGGAGTTCCACTGAATTTTTCTTAAGAAAACGGGTCAGAGTTAGAGTTTATAATGGATGGATCTTGTAACTGTATTGGTTTCTGGGTATCACTTTTAGATTAACTTAAATAAGGGTGAATATGTAATTAATCCTAAAAAAACTGTCTAAGATGTAACAGAAGCTAGGGTGGGGGTATATTTGGCGGCAGGAAACAATTTGAGGGGCAATGCATGGGGTATAGCGTAGTTATGAACAACACATAGCTACAGTAAAACACCAAATTGCTTTAGTATGGACATAAATATTCGCAACTATTGACAATATTTTTTTTTTTTGGGTAAATATCTATAATGCCATACTGATAGATAAGACTCTAGAAAGAACCGCCCCAAGTTCCTCCCAGTCAAGAAGAAAGATGGCGCTAGAACTTCGATTTGACGAAGCTTCACCTATAGAATCTTGTCCAAAGTATGGCAGCTCTTCGCGATGGAAGGCGAAGGTAATAATAGATTTGTTATTAGTAACCAATGCAAGAAAATGATGTGTCCTAGAGTAGCTAGTGGAGGAAGTTCACTAGGCATTTAAAAAATTCATATGAATGAGGAAGAAAAATAGGTGCAACTTGGGGGAAAATTATAGATTTGGATATATAAATTTGATAGAATGAAATGCTCTGGCTAAGTATGTCGTCGTAGGTGAACATACATTTTTAGAATTAAAAGTAAAATTCTTGAAGAATTTAGGCAAGAAATAATGCAATGCTTGGGTTGTTCTCTGGATTCAATAACGACGATCTTTGAATCCACAAAAAAAATTAATATAAGAAGAATTTTATTGATGAAAGGTCATGCCTTGAGGTCTTATAATCTTTTACTTAAATAGAAAAATAAAGTAGACTCTTGCTAGGACCCAAAAATTTTCCAGGAATAGAAATAAGAAAACTATCCTTAAAAGACTCCATATGATTGAGGAAATCAAGCAGTTAAATTTAGAATAAAACTGGATATGTTTCCTAATCAAAACAGACTCCGAAGCATTACACAAAATAGAAAGAAAAATGTTAAAAGTCTGTTCTCTCTCAATCTAGAGGAAATTTTGCAAAGCATATGGTTGGTTGACTCCGTCTCGAAAAAATATGCAACATATATTATTCGTCTAACTCCGACGTACGGTTTAGGAGATTTAATTCGTTCATCATTATGAAAGACTTCAGACCAATCAGTTTAATTAACTGCCTTTTCAAAATTTTCACCAAAATTCTTGCAAGCAGATTATCTCAATATATGTCATCTTTAGTGGCTCCTACTCAATCTGCTTTTCAATCAGGGAAATCAACCTTCGATTCTATTCTTTTTGCAAATGAAATGATACATTTCTGTTCAAGGAGGAAAAAAGAAGTTGCCATGATTAAAATAGATTTTGCTAAGGCTTTTGATTCATTGAACTGGAAGTTCATTATTGATCTTCTAAAGGCAAGAGGTTTTGGACCTAGATGGTGCTCATGGATTCATAATATTATTTCATCTTCCAGTTGTGCAGTGCTAGTTAATGGGCAGCCAACCAAATTCTTTAATTGTAAGAGAGGTCTTAAACAAGGGGATCCGCTATCGCCAATGTTATTTAACATTGCGGTGGATGTCCTTCACAGAATGATAGTGAACAATGTTGATGATGGTTTACTATCTAGTCTTGGTATCAAAGCTCCTTTAAACCAGTTGAGAACTCTTCAATATGCTGATGATACCCTTCTTTTTGTCAGAAGCTCTTCAAATGACATCAGAATCCTCAAAACAATTTTGTATATTTTTGAAGAAATGTCAGGCCTGGGTATTAATTATTCCAAATCATCTCTTGTGTATTTTGGCAAAACTCATTTGAAAGAGCATTCACTTGCTTCATCTCTTAACTGTAAAGTGGATCATCTTCCCATCAAATATCTAGGTTTGCCTCTCAAATATGGGAAGCTTTCTAAATCTGATTGGCAACCCATTCTTGATAACCTTCATAGGAAATTATCTACATGGAGGAAACATTCATTATCCTTTGGTGGGAGGCTTGTTTTATTAAATTCTGTCTTATCTTCCATTCCATTATATTTCATGTCATTCTACAAATTACCTATGTGGCTCATCAAGGAAATTGATAAAATCAGGAGAAATTTCCTGTGGACAGGAAATATAGATAATAATGCCTTCAAATGTATGGTTAGTTGGAAGAGAGTATGTCTCACTAAAACAGAGGGGGGATTAGGAGTCAAAGATCTTAAAGTTTTCAATTCATCTCTTCTAGCAAAATGGCTATGGAAGTGTCTGGACAGAAATTCCACAATTGGTGCTTTCCTTCATCAACTATATGCTACCAGAAATTACAACATTCAAACTAGTAGTATCAATGCACTGAATTCTTCTTTCTGGAATGCTATCATTTCTCATAATGAGGTTTTTCTTCACAACATTGAATGGAAACTAGGCACTGGTGATAATATAAGGTTCTGGGAAGATAAATGGCTTGGAGCTAACTCTCTAGCTAGCCTTTATCCATCTTTATACAAGTTATCTTTCTCCACTAATGTATCTATCAATAGCCAAGGATTCTTTCAGGACAATATATGGCATTGGCATCCTTTGATGAAAAGAAGTATAACTCCTTCGTCTCAAAATGACAGAATACATTTCATGAACTCACTGCAGCTTCATCATGTCTCTACTCAACAGGATCAACCCAGATGGACATTAACAACAAGTGGAGTTTTTTCAGTTAAATCTTATTACAATTTTCAAATTTCTAGAGGTATTCTCACTCCTTACTACAAGGTTACCTGGAACAATATCATCCCAAGCAAAGTCAGGTTTTTTATGTGGTTGCTAACACTAAACAAATTGCACACTAAGGACAATCTTCTTTCAAAAGGATGGCAAGGAGACAATATATGTTCATTCTGTGGGTTGACAGAAGAATCAAGGGATCATCTTTTCTATTCATGCTCTTTATCATTACATGTTTGGAGACACTTCACAGAATACTACCTCCCTTTTCAATGGCCTTCATGTTTTACAAATCTCCTTAAATCCGTTGAACAACTTAACAGAATACTACCTCCCTTTTCAATGGCCTTCATGTTTTACAAATCTCCTTAAATCCGTTGAACAACTTATAACAAGAAAGGACATCTATGGCGTACAATCCTATCATCAGTATGCTGGCATATTTGGCTTGCTAGAAACAAATTCATTTTTGAGCATACTAATTTTTCATTTAAATCAATTATTAACCTCTCAATCTCTGGTGTATATGATTGGATAGGAGCTGGAAGTGGTTCAGTTGCTAATAATCTCTCTACATGGCTTGAGGAGCATCCAATTAGCAGGAGAAGTACTTGATGTGAAGATCTGCTTGGAAATTCTCTTTTTGGAGATGTTTTTTGTAATTTTGTATCTTAACTCCTTCACCTTGTTTATATTTGTGTCTGTTAGTTTATAGAAAATTTAGTTCCTTCTAATTATACGTATAGCTGGCTTTGGTTCTTCTTTATATCTATGTCAACGGTGAATGACGGCAAGGCCCACTCTTCACCTTCATAGATCTTTAGAAGAAGAAGGTTATACGTCACTAATTACAAAGAATTATATTTTCTATCTACTAACTTCTGGATACATTTCGTATCCTCTTTTGTACTTAAAACAGCTTTTTATTTGCTTTTGGTTTTTAATGAACAGGGTCTAACCCTTGTTTTTCTATCAAAAAAAAAAAATCATTGTGATCAATTTTTTTTTCTGGACTCCCGTTTGAACTTTTGTCGATTCAATTTCTTTATGAATGCATCCGGAGCATGTTCTACATCTAGAAAGTTGTCAACCTAATTGTCCCGGGCTCCTAAAAACACTATAGCACACGGACAGCTAACTACAGAATTTCAAAACGATTAAAACTGCTCAGACATGGTGTGAGCTACACATTGTTACTAAATAAACTACCCCTCATCCGTTAGCAAACGTCAAGTCGAAACCTCAATCATTCTTCTAGAGGCGTCCAATTAATGTTGGATTTAATCTAATAAATCTATTTGTGGGCACATATGATTAATCAATGTGTATTGCTATCTTTCAGGATAACCCACTAAAGTGATCAATTAAGTTGGGTTAATTTGGTATTTAAATAAGTCATGGGGTTATATGTGCAGATACCAGGTTGTAATTGTAATTTATTAAGGGGCTAAATTGCAAAAGTACAACATCTATAAATAAGGGGTTATGGTCCCTAACCTAGGGTTACATTCTCTAATTCTCTACACCCCCATCTAGCTAGAGAAATTCGGTTTTAGAGAGAACCCTAAGGTTAGAAGATCCAACACCCAAAATCAAGATCAATCTATGGATTCAGGTATAAGCTTCCGCTCTCTTTTGATTTTGTTAATCTCTTTGAATTAATCATGGCTATATGGTTTTAGATCTCAAGTTTTATGATGTAGATCTAACAAGTGGTATCAGAGCCACCTTGATTAATTCTTAGGGATTTAAGTTTTATTGGGTTTTTGATCTTAAATCTCTGGTTAAAGATTCAATTTTTGGGTTCGGATGAACAGTAATGTTCTCGGATGAACAGTAACGAAATTTTTTCCCCGGATGAACAGTAAAGTATTTTTTCGGATGAACAGTAACTGAAAAAATCACCGGTGAACAGTAACTTTTGGGAATTTTTTTGGATTTTTCTTTGATTTTTCCTTCAATTTTTTCCCAATTCTGGATCTGTTTTGAAAATAAAAATCAAAGGTTTTTTGGGTTTGTCGGCGGCGGTTTCAATTTGAAACCCTA